CTAATTTTGAACGCGGTTCCTATAAAGTCATTTATACCATCCCAGAGATAAAATTTAATGTCTCTGGCGTGTTAGTGTTGGTTTATCGCGCTTTTAGTATTTTTAACAGTACAGTACCGTTATATGGGGAGTGGGCGGGCTTGTCACCCGATTTCAAACCACCCCCCCACTCACCCATTCACACCGTCAATAGAGGTGCTAAAAACATTTGCTTCCAGTGAATTTTGTTATTATAGCATTAGCGGTTTAGGAGATATGCACATTAAACCTATTAGAGGCGGGACCACGCCCACTTAAAAAAAAAAATTTAACTGCAGATGCCCCTCCCTAATGTGATCCTGTGTACCAAATAACAGTCTTGTATCTTATTGCGGAGCTTAGTTATGGCAATTTATTTGTTTTTGATTTTTGTGGGCGTGGCAGTGGTCCGATTATGCCCATCTGCAATACCAACCGTCTCACGGTACCAAGAAACATGTCTACCAAGTTTCATAAAGATATCTCAATTTTTACTCAAGTTAGAGCTTGCCCGGACGGACGGACTTTATATCGCATATATCGGCCAATATGTCAGTTGTCTTAATAAAAATAAGAAAGCGTATTTTTCTAATAACAGTAATTGATAAAATTGGATGGAAATTTGCCTAACCCTATATAACTAATATCAGAATTTTCGAACATTCGTCTAACTTTACTCCATATGATTGGTGATGGTATGTGAGGTACCTTAATGAAACCCAGGGAGCATTCTATTAGTACTTAGCAATAGTATGTACTACCCTCAACTCCCATATACTACATATAATGATTTTCGTTTTTCTAACAAATTTGACGGCGAATATGTCGATCAGTGTATCAGTTACATATTTATAGAATTAGATATGTTCTCGAGTATACCTGAGCAATGTCAAAATGAATGCCCTTTCTCTATCCTCAATATACCCCATAAAATGACTTTCGTCTGTCCGCCTGCATTTAAGCCAGGTTGGTCGAAATGTGTGATATTTTAATGACAAGTTTTAATTCAATGGACAAGTTTTCTTAAATATTATATGGTTTAGCGCTGAACTAGAATGGAATCGGTCTATAACTTGGTCTAAACCTCATATCCTAAATATAATGAATTCCGATTCTCTGGTTGACGTTTTCCACGTCAACTCAATATATTAAATTTAGCCTTTTTGGTAGAGTTGATATCGCATACATATATATCACACTTGAAGTTGTTTTTAGTATAATTTTAGCTGAGGCGAACTAAAACTAAGTCTAAATTTATGGCCTTCAATATAAGTCAAGAAGATACCAAATTGATTGTAATTTATTCACGATTTAATCGAATAATAAATGTTAAATTCTTTCGACACATGTTTTAATATAAAGTTTCGCTAGCACCTGAAGGAATTTCCCGTGTTTTGATTCTTGCAAGTTGCAAGAGTATAAAATGTTTGGTTACACTCGAACTTAGCTCTTCCTTATTTGTTATTTAATAAAAAAATAAATAAATGTATGTTTTGTAGAACTTAATATACTTTATTCATTCATTTGATTGGTTGACTTTTGAAAAATTTTGGATTCTCTCGATCCCGTTGACGATCTCCAGGAGGACCTGGAAAAAGAGGTGTCTGGTGGTGAGAAAGATTTTTCTGCATAAAATTATCTGTAATCCAAAAACGAAAGAAATGCATTATTATTACAAGTATGTGTAGATGAAATTTTTTACAAAATTGCGTCTTTCCAAAAAAAGTTTTGTTTTTTTTGTAATTACACAAGAGTCTCACCTAAAACTCGAAATTATTATCAAAAATTGTATTCCTTCGATCATAAAAATATCAAGTCGATCGTATTAGGTGTCTCGGAGTGTTTCCTCACCGACACTAAGCAGAGTATTTCAAGAAAAACGAGCTTAAAGTTTTGGGAGCCGATTATTAAATTTAAAAATTTTTGCAAATACGCTCTTCTTCCCGAAAATTCTACATCGAATGTACAATATACATATATTAGCAAAAGTATCGGTTTTTGTAGTTCAAAAGTGGATGTAACCACTTAAGTCTGATCTAATGTTGAGTTATCAGCTTCGACTGACTCGTTTTAAAGCAATACTCAACGCCATTGGCAATATCATCAATTGTTCCATGCTTCATTGAAAATAAAATTTCGGTGAATGAAAAAAGCACCCTCTACATAAATTTGGATATATATTTTACTTATATACTATGTATATAGATATTATTAATTTGAAGAAGTAGCTGCTGATGAGTGAAATCATAAAGAATTTCTTGTGCCAAATGTGATAACGCTAAAAGCAAAATCTTCACGCATACATACAAATTTCAATATACAAAGTAATACTTCAACATCTTACATTTGTAGATATTATATATATCATACAAGTATATTTAGTATTTTCGCGTTCATGCTTACTTATGCACATACATTTGTATGTATTAATGGATTTCCTTTTCCACCCACTCAAATAATTGTTGAAATCTCTAAAAACCAAAATATGCCGCTACACACCCGATAGTGGGAGTACCAACAAAGTAAATTTACCAAAAAAATGCTTCTCTAATTAAAAACTTCAACTAATAGCTTAAAATAATTAGTTTCGGAAAGTCAAATGGAAAGTCAACCGAATCTTCCACATACGTGCGCACTCATATAATATAAATACTTGTATATGTATTTATGTAGCCCCACAGAAAGTCATCGGGTGATTCCCCCATTATGTGAACAACAATTGAACAACTAGTGCATGCGTGTAAACATTACTATCTTGGGAGTTTTTTTATTTGTTTCTTTCATTTTGTTTAATCAGCCGAAGCCGCTGAAGCGGTCTGTGGTTCTAAGAAGACAATCATGCTCAGTCAAAAACCACATGAAGAGTTACGGCAACTAACAGCATAACTGATATACATATATATGTATGTATGTATTCACTTACATGAGTAAGCATATCCAAATATTCTGAAAGACTCATTCGGACAACTCGAATCACAGTTAAAATTCGTACAACTCGTACATAATACATAAGAGATAAAGTGCTGAATTGAACTAGTTATTAACTAGTTTACAACTAGTATACACTGCTAGTCCAATTAGTCGGCAGACTGTTTTCTTCTATAGAAATATATGTACATACATATAATAGACTCATGCGACTCTGCTGTATTCTTTCGTCGATCTTCTTATGTGTGTGTGATGTGTACCTTGATAGGACAAATAAAGGGTCACACAGTTGAATTGTGACCATCAAACAGCTGAGGGATTTCATGAGAAACTCTTTCAAATATAGTTTCAAAACAACGATATTGCACATCTCTAATTAAATTAGCCAACGTATATTCTTGTACTTAGCGATGTATTTCGAGATGTCTCTATCCAAAGTCATAATAACACATAGCAAGATTTTTCCGCAAGTTGACTATAATGAAATCATTTTAAAAGTATTTGATCAGACATAAACATACCATACTATATGCAACTAGTTTTCAAAAATTAATAATGGAGTCAAGCTAAACTAAAAAATTCAGAACTTTTTAGGATATAATGATCATATAGGGTCATATCGAATACGAGACGACTTCCAGAGATTCCGTAAATTCAGAAAAGAGATAAATATTTTATCCTAACAGATGACTCTAAAAGCAGATTATTGGTTGGTTTTCGTTTATTCCAATAATAAATATATTTGATGTAAATTTCAGAAATATTTTTACAATTTTTTAATTATTGTATAGATATAAAAAAAAAACTATTTTAAATTTCAATGAACGTCATTGTTTTCCATTGCTTTATGTGTCATTTTTCGACTGCGACCACGCGGAACTTATCACTATTAACACTGAATTTTTTTTTGGATTATTTCGTTCTTTCCGTATTTTCTTAAATTTTTTTATAGGGTTTTAAATAAATTATATTATATTACCTTATTATAGTTGTAGTTTTTAATTTATTTCGTTTAATGAATAAAACACAAAACGGCTTTTCTTTGCTTACTCAAAATTTATTATATTTTTTTTTATTAATAAAGTGACTAAACTTTGTACTTCAATTTAAAAAAATTAAAGAAAACATTAATTTTATTTATAGTATAAGTTAAATTAAATTAAAAAAAAAAAATAAAAAATTATCAATTTTCCATCGCCACTGACACGCGAGCTCATTTTATAAGCCTCACTAACTTTGAGTTTAATCTACAACTGAATGTGTTTAGTTTTGATCCATAACAATGTCACTTAAATAAAAGAACTCGATATCGCAAAAAGTACCGCTTTAAAGTGTTACCAAATATGAGTAACACTTGAAATTTTTGAATGGCAAGTTGTGCGTGTCAGAAGGTGTACTTTCTAAATGCTTCCCAAAAAATTTAACGCAGAGTTGTTATCTGCGTTTTCAAGGAGACTGGCCTCTGTAGCCTTCCGCAAATAGCAATCCTGTTTCAGTATCCAACAAGCAGAACGACAACTATAATCCACTATCCTTCCGAAATAGGGGTATTTTGCTCTTCACTCATACTTACACTGTGCGGCTATAAAAAAAATACCCGACAATCCGAAAATATTTTTACGGCTTTGCCACGCGCTACCAGTGGGACAGCCACACATCTCTGTGTGCATGTGTGTAGTCTTTCTATGAGTATAGATTTAAGGTCATGGAAACATAGTAGTGCGATGAAAGAATTTGTTGCCAACTTATTTTTAGATTTTGATAAAATGAAATGATTAAATTTTACGCACAAAGAGATGAAGAAATCTAAGTATACATGTGTGAGTAAAATATTTTAGGTATTTTATTTTTGTAAAAATATATAATATTTTATTAATAGTGGTAAGGTAATATACATACATACATATGTACATATATTTATTTATGTATTTCTATATATTTATTTTCTAAAAATACTTGTATTTATTTGTATACAATTAAGACAAGAAATATAGACAATATTTTAAAATTCTTTACTTTCCATAATTAATTTATTTGCATGTTAGCTGAAAAAGAAGCAGGAATTACAAAAACAGATGCTTCTCCATACATTTCATGAACAGACAAAGGAGCTAGAATTGCGACACCAAATGCAACTGGAGCAAAAGTACCAGGTGAGTTGCTAGACGAACTTAATTTTATTCTTCTAATTGTAATTAATAAATTAGCATAAATCTTTTCATACACACATATACACATGCGTATAAGTAGAAGCGCTTTTTTTAAACTTTTTTTATTAAAATTCAATAGTGAACCGTTTCTACTACGCCCTTAAAAAAGCGCTCCTATGCGTAGCACCTAAAATTAGGCTTGGTTGGCGTCAATAAAATTTACTGATCGCTTATAACTGTTTGTAATTGTTGCTACAAGCACCTCTTATAATCAATGCTATCTGTTGAAGACTTTTAATTAACGTTATTGATAAAACTTTGTTGTCAATTACAGTGTACTATTGATTTTTAAAAAGGTCAATAAATAAATTTTAAATTATGTACTTTAGTTATCGAGCAAAGGAGCTATAAATTGCTTAAATATATCAATTATTAGAGTTTTTGATTAAAAACAAAGATTTTTAATCAGCCTATAGTAATAATTTTTATTTTTGTTCAGTTACAAATATTTGGTCGGGAAAGCTTTTTGTCTTCCGTCATAACTTTTCCTCCATACAACCAATTTCTGGAAACTACTTGGTCTACTTACCATACTACTTAATCAATAACTGCTGTTATATAAGTCACTGTGCAGGATATGTATTAGGTGCGCAACTAAGTTCCCGCTGTTTGTCAATAGTTGGCTCCAGCAGTTAGTGGTGATCGATTTTGATATATCCAAAACGTGATAAACTTAACCTGGACATATGAAAAAGAAACTGCGTTTCCACATTAGTGACTTTGTTTATGTGTCGTATTCTTTGGTTGTGCGAATACTTGTATGTCCGATTTTTTGCCAAATAATCATCATTTGCGGGAAGTGTTGATTTTCTTCTTTCAGTAAAAGAAATCGGCCGCTGAAGCACATCGGGAACTCCAAAAATGTGGAGGTGCTACCCCGAGAGTAACAATGTGCTTTGTTCCGTCGCTTCAAAGACGGTGTTTTCGATATTAATGCTCGTTCGCGTGAAGGAAAGCCAAAAACTTTCGAAGACGCTGAATTGGAGACATTTATCGATGAGAATCCATATCAAACGCAAGAAGAGCTTGCGTCAGCATTGGAAGTCACCCGCCAAGCCATTTCTAAAGCTGTAGTTGCGCTGGAAAAAAAAAAGTAATTTTGCTGCATGACAACGTTCGGCTTCAACTTGTCAAACCCGTTAAACCTACCTAGAAAGGCTAAAATGGGAAGTCCTACTCCACCCGACATATTCTCCAGATATTGCACCGTCCGATTATTATTTGTTCCGTTCGATGGCACATGGTCTGGCTCAGAAGCAGTTCCACTCACAAGACAACATCGAAAAATGGCTTGATTCTTAGCTAGCATCACAAGATGAACAGTTTTAGTAGAAAGATAGAAAAAAGTTGTGTCTAGTGATAGGCAATACTTCAAATAATTCATTTGTAACCATTTCCTTAAAATAAAATTGCATTTTCATTAAAAAAAACAGCGAGAACTTAATTGCGCACCTAATATGTAAGACTATATTATATATTGTATATATTACAACACCATTCTTTAGTACAAACGTGCCCTATCTCCGTTCGATATGTATTTCGAAATGTGTGTAGGAATGTATGTAAATGTATGAAAATGTATTATGTGAATAGAATTATGAACAATTTGTACTAACTTAGTTGCTAGACAACATAAAATACAAAATATTTGATATTAAGAAATTTAATTGAATTTTCCATACAATGTAAACGCATGATTGAAATTCAAAAACTGCAAAATCAAAACGAAAACCAAAACTGTTTCGAACTTATTGTAATCATTTAGTATGCGGTGCATTCACATGGCGCTTTCCAGGAACTACGAGAACAAAGACTTTCCGCCGCCGCCGCAGAGGAGCAGCAGCAGCGCGAGCGACGTGAGCGTGAGGTAATTAAACGAAAGGAAAACTGCAGTGCCAATGCCAGCCCCGAAGTCAAGCAAATATTAAATGTAAGTAAGCCAAACTATTCGATCATTTGCATTTTATGTACTAAACACACATACTTACATGCAGTGTTTGTGTGTGTGTGTGTGCACATGTATAAATAGCGGTGACAAAAATGATTCGATGACTATTTTTTTTTGTGTGTTTATTTTCGCTTTGCAGAACTTTCTAATTAACCGCAAACAGGCTGCCTCCTCCAATGGCATAACGACGACGTCACCTTACAGAAATAGGTACATTGTTTATAAACAAACAATACATAATTAAGCCGAATATGTCACTAATACACCTATGTTCTAATGAAAACTTTTTTTCTTCCTTTTTTCTGTATTTACTTTCTCGGCGCCAGTAGAGGAGTAGTGAAAAGCTCGTCCGGCGAATCTTTGCCAGCCGGTTCCTTAACAAGTTCACATCCATATAAAATACCACAACCGCCATCATCGTTTCTGAAATATGAATCTGACTTTCCACTTCGAAAAACAGGCAAGTCATTGTTAATTTTCAATTTCACAACAGCTCGCTTATACAAAATACTACGATATGTATGTATTTTTTTTTAGTTATTGAACAGTTTTTTCAAGAACAATGTTAAAATTTAACAAAACGATTAAAACAGGTACTACCACGCATGGAATTTCGAATGTTTTTTGTTGGAACTAAGTACCCGCCTTATATTTTATTTTTGTTTTTAAATGAGTTACTATTTTTCTGTTGTTTTTAAATATTATAATAACATAAATAATGCTAAAATAACGAAAACAAGCACAGTGTTTATATACATATATATTAATATGCATACATACCCACAGATAATGCCAGGAGCTTTATTCATTAAAATAAAAAAATTATGAAAGTGTAATTCATATGTGATCGATGTAGAATAATTGCCGTAAATTATATCCGCTCTAAGCCAGTTCTAAATTAAATTCGATTTAAAAGTAAATAAATACAATGTCTAATATTTTAAGCACTGAATTAAGAGTTTCGAAACCAATAACCATTTTCCTTTGTTGAAATCCAGAACAAATCAAATTTTATATAATTTGATCGAAACGGTATTCAACGCATAGTTATTTGTATATCTGAAAGTTGTCTTTTATATTAAGTTCTAATATAACAAAGTGTTATTAAAAACCGAATATGACCAAAACCCTGTCATGAATCATGCCTTTTCACACACGCAGTGTAATTTTTTGTCAAATTTGCCTTATATTCCTCAATTTTGAATCTTTTATTGTAAAATTTGTGTTGAAAAGAAAATCTGAAAGTGCAAATTACATATTATCTAATTTTTCCACCAAAAAATATTAGGATATATTGGATTATGTTTCCGTAATCATGTTGGTAAATACATAGAAACAAATTGTATGCGTCTATCAATTTGGTTATAGCTGGAAATATTCCCAAAGCAGCTTGAAGAAATACTTCGAACTTCTTGAGAAAGCAATTTAAAATTTTTAATGTAGAATATTTTTTCTACTTGTCGAAAAGATTGCATACATACCCGTTAGTGGCTCATTAAAAAAATTTAATTTTTTTTTTCATATTTTGTATTGAAATCAAGCTTTGGTATGTTTGGAAAGTATATTCCTTGCGGATAGACTAGATCTATACTTTTCATGTGAGGCTGTATGTATATGTATGTTTATGTATAAAAATACAGGTGCATCGATGGTACCTAATAAAACTAAATTATGCGTTGTTGTTGTTTTGTTATATACTATTAATATTAATTAATTTTAGTCTAAAGAAAGGGATTTGAAAGGGTACATAGTTATAAGTAATCATCTAATCTTTGTAAGATTATTAAAATCATTAAGACGTCCATCATTTCTGATTTGATCTCAGGTCAATATATAGAGTATAAACGGAGCTATAAAATGGGGTTTTCAAAACATGGTGTACGTAGTTACTATTACTACTACTACTATATTGCTTCTTAATTCTTACAATAATAATTATAAAGCTTAATTGAGAATCAACTACTACTTGGACTGAAAAATCTTTGACTTTATATAGAGTACCAACAATAAGTAGATTACTGTAAAAGTTTCATGATATCGTTCTCAAGTTGTTGCTCTCAAAGCGACGTTATTTTCGTTTACAATGAAAGGAAGTTAATTTAGTGAATTGTTAAATAATTATTTCCTAGAGCGAAAAAACAAGGTTGTTCAAAGCAATGGCTTGATAAGTGTTAAAACAAATCCTAACCAGCATATTCAAGGTGGATTCGTAGCCGTCACAAAACAAATAAGGCTCATCATTCATTAAAGTCCCAAGCGGCAGTAACGTCAGAAAACATCACGAAAATTCATTAAATTGTGTTGGGTGACCGTAAAATGCAATTGAGTAGGTTCTTTCATTCAGGAATTCTTAAGAATGAAAAAGCTTTGAGTGCGATGACTGCTGCGTTTTATTTATAGAACATCGTTCAAAAAGACAAAATATGACAAAAGCGCTCGAAAACCTAACAGTCGGTCGACAAGATTTTAGCTTTTATTTTTTGGATTCCACATGGAAGTATTTTCATCGACTCCCTCAAACATGTTACAATAATCAATAAACAAAATTGTTGTGCATCGTTTGGACGTCGAGATCAAACTTGGGACAACTTATTAAGCTAAAGATTTTTCGTTCCGTCTGGTAGTTTTTGGCATTAAATAAGCAAAAATATAAATAAATATGTAAATAGAATTATTCAGAGACAACTCTTCATAAGTCAGGTGTTATTAGAAATAATTTGGATTAATAGAAAATGGCAATAGCAGATATTGGTGCAGCATGGCGTATGAGTAACTTGCATACATGTTAAAAATTATTTATAAATTTGCACAAGAAAAGTATGTTTGAAGGATGACAAATGATCGGGTCGTCAAAAAAAAAAAAAATAATTGAAAGTTCACTATTTTCTACGTTAGATGAAATATGAGTCATGTAAGATAGCATACGCTACAAAATCAGAGTTGTTATGCTATTGAAAAAGATATAATATACTTGTAATTTAATTTGTAGATGCAATTTTAAAAGTTTTTAAAAACTCCCGGTATGATAGTATGGGAGATTATGATAATGATAGAAAGCTCTTCAACTCAGACTGCGGAAAAACATAAATAAATCTAAAAATATTGTATTTTGCGTATATATGCGACCATATTTTTTTTGTTAATTACATAAAATAATGTTAGGTTTAGTAGCACTAGCCACTTTACATGCAGCACCTGTTATTTTTTGAATATAATTATATGAAAATTTGTATAGCATAAAAAGTAAACAGTAAATTATACACAAGTTTCGAAACTAAAAATAACCATTGGCAAATAATATTCACATACAGCATCCGAACCAAATTTGCTGAAGCTACGTCTAAAGCAAAGCGTCATTGAGCGCAAGCAGAGAATCAGCGGTCCAGCTGTGCTACGTCGGCATGAGCGCATACTGCAGCGAAGACAGCAGAAGCAAAATTCCGCTTTAACAAGTACGTATTACGCCAAGCTTTAATACTACAAGTATTTGTTATGTTATGTAATGTAAGTGTGTATGTGTGTATGTATTTAAAGACGAAAAGCAAAACAGAACAAAACAAGCGGATACAAAGAATAATTGTAATGTAAATCAAGAAATTACACATAAATTGCTTTTCAATAAAAATAATAAGTTATGTGGAAAAGTAAGTACAAAGAATTATTACGATGTTAGCAAGTAGTAATTTAAAACTACTTTTCTCCAATGTTTATAAATAACTGTACAGTTATAAAATTTCAACTGTAATTGTACACGGCAAATAAATTACGGTTATTACGACGCAGTGGATTCTGGTTTGTGACTTTAACAATGTAAATATGTATGTGCATACGATGTACATACGTGCATACGATTTGCCGGAAAGGCTTACACGTTTCGTCCTTAAAACATAACACGAATGCTTGCTAATTTGTTTTGTAATGCTTTGAATGTCTTTAATGCTTCAATTAAGATTACTGTTTGATTTTCGTATTACTAATTGAATTAATAACCCATTAAAGAACATATTATATACAAATAATTGAAATTACAAGTAAATATAAATATAAGTACTGCTTCTATATCATTACATAGTATTATCGTACATGCAAATTTCGAGCAGATAAATTAATTATTTTGTAATCAACAGATTGCAGCAGCACACCGGATTCGGGGCCCAACTCACCGCCCTCATCCACCCTCTCCACCAGTGTGGTGGGCAGTCGTGGTTCACCGACTAGTGCACCTATCCAAGAGGAGAACGAAGAGAGCGGACCATATCAGTCGGGCCAGCGTAGCAGCATAAATGATCTCTCACTCTTTAGTTCACCATCCATGCCGAATATACCGCTTGGCGGTCCACACTTGGCCAGTCATGCACATGCTCAAGCTAATGTCAGTAATTATAATATGCTTGCAGCACTGCGGCAACATGTACCAACTTTGGCGGCACCCACATACTACAGTCCGTTGGCGATACCATTCGCACGCCATCAACCACACCCGCCGCCACAGCCGCCTTCGCATGCCGCATCGATAGCGGTCGCTGCAGCTGGTGTTCTGCCACCTACGCCATCGCCAGTTGTACGCTCGGCATCGGCAACGTCCACCTCATCGTCGCAAGCCTCCTTGGCCAGTGATGTTTTACCACCTATTGCGCATGCTGCTTCAACACTTTTACCAGCCGGTAGCGCTGGCGCACACAATCACAACGTGTTGGGCTCTGGTACTTTGCATCCCGTCACACCCATGGTTGGTGTTTCGCCTTCGATGTATGGTCAGCCCATAACCGATGCCCAAGTGGCTCATGCCCACCTCAATAAGCAAGGACACCGTCCGCTGGGACGTACTCAGTCAGCTCCGCTACCATTGGGTCATCCAATGCTAACCGGCACCGGTCAGATTGGCGTAGGACAGACGCATTATGAGAACAGTGATGTGAGTGCTTAATTTAAATTGCTAACAGTGGTTACAATTTCGTTAAAACTCAATTTCAAATAAGAAAATCAGTTTAAAATTTATTTTTAGCAAATATCATTTCCAAATTCGATTTCGAAAAAAATTTATTTCAAATATACAGCTTTAAATAAAATTGTATGAGAACAGTAATGTGATTCTTCGACTAAATTAATTTTAGCAATTTTAGCCGTTTTTTAATTTATGGATTAAAATACTGAGGCGTCAACCCCTTTAGTTTGTTTACTATAAACGCCACACATCTGGGAAAAATGTAAATCAGAGAGCTCCAAAACTTTTTAGTGCGATTTTTTTTTCCAATTTAACCTAGTAAGACAACACACCTAGTGGTTAAAATTGAGATGGCAGTGCGTTAAATTTAATAAATTTCAAAATTTAGTTTTTGAAAAGTTTAAATTTCGACAAAAATCCAATATCTTTTATGTTCCAAAATACTTAGGCGTCAACTCTTATGGTTTGTTTACTATAAACCTGGGAAACATGTAGAACTGACAGCTACAAAACTCCCTGTGCAAGCTCTTTTCAATTTAACGTTGTAGAAGAATTTCTAGAGGGCGGCGATGAAATTTTTTTTCTGTTACCACTTAAGCATATAGATATAAACAAGTAAAGACACATTGACACGTTCCCAAATTCTTTTCTTCCCTTCCAGGCGGAACAGCAGGCGCATATGTTGGTAACACAAAAGATACGGCAAACACTGATCAATCGCAGCAGTGTCAATCGTGAACCCCAACTCAAGGAGGAAGAAGATGCGGCTGAAGTGATCGATTTGACGGACAAAAAGAAGCCGCCAAAGACCGTCATTACAAGTATTGTACCCACGAGTTCTTCACAAAATCTGCCAGAGACCACCAATGTACCAATGGGCGCCTGCATGCCCAATACACCTAGTAAATTGCGCGATCAGGAGTACCTGCAACAACAAAGGGAGCTGTTATATAGACAAGCGTTGCAGGTAATTTTTTGCTTTAGGCAACAAATCAGCATAAAGTCTATACGTATGTATACTGAAGCTCTTCCTTTCCTTAGATGGATGACTCAATCGCACGAGGCTTAATACGCCCACTGTCGCGTACGTTATCTAGTCCATTGGTGCATATGGGTCCGAATGGTATTAGTCAGCTGCCAGATACTGGGCAATATGCTCCACCTATAATAACTTCCTCATCAGCAGATCATATACCGCCAGTTAATCTCACAGTCCCTCATCGGCGTCGAGTGCTCGAGCATTCGCCAACTGGGATGGCCGCATCAAGTGCATTCTCATCCTTACCTGCCATACAGCCGGCCATCGCTGTTGCTGGTGCAACCAGTGGCAAACTGATAAATGAGTTTCCTACGCACAAAACAACCACTGGTCTCGCTTATGATAATCTGATGCAGAAGCATGCCTGCACTTGTGGTGATAATTCCGTACATCCGGAGCACAGTGGTCGTTTGCAGAGTATATGGGCGCGCCTTATTGAAACTGATCTGGCCAAACGCTGCGATCGTCTGCGTTCACGTAAAGCCACGTTAGAAGAGTTACAAACGGTACACACAGAAGCCCATACAATGCTCTTCGCTTCGAGTTCGTGTCAATTGAATCGGCAAAAGTTGGATAGTCCGCCGGCTTTGGGCTTTGTGCGCCTCTCCTGTGGTGGTTACGGTGTGGACTTGGATACCACTTGGAATAAGGATCACACTGCCGCCGCTGCACGCATGGCTGCGGGATGTGTCATTGATTTGGCTTTTAAAACAGCCAAAGGTGACATTAAGAATGGTTTTGCGGTTGTGCGTCCACCTGGCCACCATGCCGAAGCCAATTTGGCTATGGGTTTTTGCTTCTTCAATTCTGTTGCGATTGCCGCCAAATTACTGCGTCAGCGTGTGCCCGAAATGAAGCGTGTGCTGATCGTAGATTGGGTAAGTTGACGTCAAGACCTACTTTTACTCATAATTTAAAAGAATTTGTCTATTATTTAGGACGTGCATCATGGCAATGGTACACAACAGGCATTCTACGATAGTCCCGATGTGCTGTATTTGTCCATACACAGGCACGACGATGGTAACTTTTTCCCCGGCACTGGTGGCTCCACTGAGGTAAGGACCTTATACTATTTGTTAAATTTGTTCTTACCTTCTTTTCCTTTGCTTCTGTAGTGCGGTATTGGCGCCGGCGCTGGTTTTAATGTAAACATCTCCTGGTCGGGTTCTTTGGATCCACCACTGGGCGATGCCGAATATATTGCTGCATTCCGTACAATTGTGATGCCCATCGCAAAATGTTTTAATCCAGATATTATTTTGGTGTCGGCTGGTTTCGACGCAGCTGTTGGTCATCCCCCACCTTTAGGCGGTTACTTAGTATCACCGGCTTGTTTTGGTTTCATGACGCGTGAACTAATGCAATTGGCTGATGGCAAAGTGGTGTTGGCTCTAGAGGGTGGCTACGATCTACCCGCCATTTGTGATTCTGCGCAGGAGTGCGTACGCGCGTTGCTTGGCGATCCGTTATCTGCGATCGCGGAGAGTGAGTTGAATAGGCCGCCTTGTCAGAATGCGATAGATACGCTGCAGAAGACGATTGCCATACAGGTGAGAGGCAGAACGATGACAAAAAAAAAACGTTCCATTCGGCTGCATCCTCTACAGATGTATTGCTATATGTATTACTAAATATGAAAACTTAACCGGCAAACGGTTGGTATCCAAATTTCGTGAAGATATTTTGTCAAAATAAAAAGTTTTCATAGCTTTGTGAGTTTGTACGACAGCTTTATTCTATAGTGGTCCGATATTGGTGATACCGAAATTGAATTCCAAATGAGGTGATTTTTTGTGGGAAAAGAGCGTGTGCAAAATTTCGCGTATATACCGACGGACATGACTAAATTGCGTGTTCAGGGTATACTAATTTTTATAATGCAAAATGGTTTGGAAAACACCACCTATTATATGCTGATATCTTATATCATAATTTAATATCTATAAACCGTTATTGCAGTCACAACATTGGCCATGTGTACGCCGTTTGGCCCATACCGTCGGTTTATCTGCCCTTGAAGCATTGAAAATTGAACATGACGAATCGGAAACCATTACGGCTATGGCGGGACTTTCGATGCAATCGATGAACAGGTATGCTTTATCAATACAAAGATTTTCCAAAATGTGCCTGTCTAAACGTTTATTAATTTTTTTTAGAACTTTATCACGTGATGACTCAGAGGAACCAATGGATCAAGATGAAGCCAAATAAATTTCAGCCGTGGAGCTCGAACGACTTTTGACTTGATTGACTTGCACATATGCACTTAATGTTGCTAATGTTGCAATTTTTTATTATATAATCCGCCGTTAATCGATATACATATTTATCAACCAAGCGGACAACGGATTTGGTTACACAGACGTCTGTAGAGACTCGTTTATTGTCTACGGAAAGTGTAAGATGCTGTTTCGGTTTCATGATTTTATTATCTATTCCCACTTGACTCATGAGCTGCGGTTATGTTGAAACAAAAAACACAAACCAACGCGCTGAAGGGAAGCCCGTCACAGCATTTATGTGTAGCAGTTGTATTTGTTGGGCGTTTGATATTAAGTGGAGTCAACCACTCCCGACCACGTAATTCATTCATTGCTAAGCCTATGAAAGGGGAAAAAACTAAAAACAAAAGCTTTTCTAGGCATATATGTATGTATGTAGTAGTAAAATTGTAAACGCGTATATGTATATTAGATATACGTTTAAATATATTTTAAATATAAACACATATATATGTATGTAACTGCATATGTACAACATGTAACACTTTACAAAGTATTTGTATATATACATATATTTATATTAAATTAATTTATGTGTGAAAGTGCATATATGACATATGTATGCTTTTTGATATTCAATACTAATATGATGTAAGCTCAGAGAAGAATTTCTTAAATGTTGATTTAGTGTTATAAGCTAAAGTTAGAAAAAGAATTTTTAATGTAAATGTATGTAAGGTAAATTATAGTAGTTCATTTTCATTTAGCAACAATTTTTAATTCTTTTTTATCACACTTTAAGGGCACCAACAAAGAAAAAAATAATATACAATATATTTTTTTAAAGAAAACATCTATGTGATATAAAAAAAGAACGAATGAAACGAGAGCCAAATTCTTAATGAATCTAATAAATTAAAATATGAGTCCAAGCGCAAATGTCATTGACTAACCACCGCCTCTCAAAGCAGACGATAAAATAACGCGCATTTACAATACATAAATCACTGCAATTGGTCAAACCCACAGATTTATCTAAAAACTCACTTTTAGTTTAAAACATTTCAAATGTGAAATAAAACTATTTTTTTTATTTTTATTTTATACATCTTAATTATTACAACCAAAACTGAAAAAAATAACAAAACACTATATACCATATATAAATAAATATATATTAATGTTAAATATGTTGTTGCACATTCAATGCAATTGGATGTGTTCGCATGCGCTAATTGTATGTTATTATTATTATTATTATTATAATTAATATTATTATATGTATATGTATTTAAATGTAATTAGTCGTAAGAGAGAATTTTTAATATACACATACATATACGTGCGCTTATGCGTGTATGTATACAATATGGAATATTGTATGCATATACATATATATATATGTATATACATAATTGAGCATTGTTTTATTGCAACCCATGCTATTTTTCACGCTTCTAAGGAGAAAAACAACTGCAACTTCATGTACGCACATAAATTAGTTTAAAGGAAAGAAAAATGTCATTTATGACCAATGAAAGTTTAGATGAGACTAAAAAGAGACGTAAATTAAAGCTGTAATAGTTTTGGAGATAGCAGTAAATTGATGCAACATAATAATTACAAACCAGTAAACAAGAAAATGTAAACGGAAATTAATTATGTTTTTAAGCGAGGCTTGACATACTTGGTAATAAAATTATTCAAAATAATTTGATATAAATGACTCAAATATTGTAGGACCAGACTGGATTAAAAATACAAATGTAAAACGAGGAATTAAAAAAAAAATTACCAAAAATATATCATTGTTTTGTATAACAATTTTTTATAATCCTTTTTATAGCTTGTTTTATATTTTTTCTTCTATATTTTTTTATATTATTTCTTTTATATTTTTTCTTTTATATTTTTTAATATTTTTTTTTATATACATATATTTATTTTTATATTTTTTTTATAAATTTCTAGCATGTAGACATTTTTTAAAATGGTTTTTTATTGACAAATTAATTTTTCAATGTTAACGTAACTATAAATAGCGATTTTATTATTTTTCAAACATGATTTGTAAATCTTAACCAGACTGGAGTGGAAATCATTCATTCTGTTTTCGAAAAATGGACACTTGAATATTTGTATTTTCTCATTTCACTATAGTCTATACAAACTATGAATCTTTTGCGTCTAAATTTTCATTTGTAATGAACAGACATTTTTCTCTCTAAATTTTATGTGCATATACACACACACAATGGTAAATGTTAGTAATATTGAATGTGGTGTGCGACGTTTTCTTGTTGACTTGGTGCATACTTTGTATACGCTTCAAATAGTAATAATCTATATAAAATGAAAATGCAAAAACAAAACAAGCAACAAATGTACAAAATTTCTGCTGCAACTAGCAGTGAATAAATACAGTAAACCAGAAGAAAAGAAAATAAACGTGACATGTCACTTGTTATGAAAGCAAACTGAAAATAGTAAAATAAAATTTAAATGTGTTTTTAATGGAGCGTTCAAATTGAAATCAATTAGAAACGTAAAAAGTAAACAAATGAAAAAGTCCTGGCCAGATTTAATGTTAACATATTAAATGTATAAGTAATGGAAAATAAAGAAAGAAATGGATATAAACAAACTTAAGTTTGATTCGTATTATTACAACAAAGAGTGTGATTTAAGGCACTCAATGTAGCACAAAACAACGAGTAAGAAGTAAATTTGTATGCATGTACTTGTGTTTGTTTTGCAATGTTTTACTTTGGTATTAAAGTGAAAATTTAAATGCTCTTGCACTGTCTGGCAACTCAACATTTGAAAAAATAAACGTCACTTTTAAGTAAGTGATGATAAAAAAAAAAATATTGTAATTGATAAACACTCTTTGTGAAAAGTGTTGAAACATACGTGTAGTCTATACCTAAAATTTGACCAAAAGATTTTCTCAATGTGATAGAAAATGTTTTTTTTACCCTAAGAGATAAATTGCCAAATCTTGGAAAATAGCGAATCGAACACGTAACTGGCATAAGTCACATAGCCTGGTATAATAAAAGAGAAACAGTTTAGAAGAAATTGATAAGACTTTATTGAGGTACCTACACACCCTCATGTATTGAATTTAATTGGAAAACTTTTTGCTGCTTTCGCATGCAAATTTTTTTTGACAAGAGCGTAAAACACAAAAAGCGATCAAAACAGTGACGAATCAAAGAGGGCTAATAACTGATGATTTTATACTAACCATTACCACAACCCATGAGTTGAAAAAATTTAACATAAAAAAGTTGTTTGAAAGTACTTTTCAATTAAAATATAAAAAGCGTTGAAGTACGATTTACAGTTATGAATCTGCGACAGTCTTCTAACAAAATTATACAAAATTAATACTTATTTAAACAGTACAAAATACAATGGGAAAGGAAAAGTTTTATTGAAAATATTTATAAAGTAAAGAGGATTTTAGAAAAAGAAAAAGGAATTTAAGAATTGTAAAGTGTTATCCAACAAGATTGTAAAGGTTCATAAAAAGAGTACAAACCTTTTAGTAGATCTGCAACATTTTTAAGTTGACTATAGCCAGATTTATGGTATGCTATGTTTTGTATACAGCGCCACAGATGATAACTTTCGCCAACAGTTGGCGTCAAAAACGTTGCAGCAATAATAAGAACTTACCGATATCCTGACATATTTTCCTTTTGTCAACTATGATGCAACCGCAAACACGATTTTAGAAATATGTTAAAAAATAGGTATAATCTGACATTCGAATTTGACATTAGCTATTATCTTTAAAAGATAATTTTTGTATACGTTTGGCTATATAGGAATATCCACATAGCCATTATAGAAATCAACACAGGAAAAGTGATTGTGTTCACAGAAATTAACAATATTTCAAACAAACTCTCTTAATTAAATGTCCTAAAAAATAAAAAGAATAATCACAAATTACCCAATTCACATGAAAACCATTGTAAAAGTAGAAAGTTAGCTCATTTCGAATATGACTGTCTAATGTTGTAATTTAATTTGTTCCGTTAGAAAGAAATTTTGTAGAATTTAAACTCTAAGAATTGAAAAAATTGCTCATCGACCTAAGCTACTCTATCATTACACCACAGATATAAATAGACGCTTTTGCGAAATTATGAGACATATGAGTCGGAATGCAAATGGCAGAAATAATAAAACGACTTGCCCGAAACTAAGACCGCGTTTTTTCTTATCTTAAACCTAGCGGAACAATGGAGAGTTTCTAAGTTACTGGAGTTGGTAACCAATTTTATATTGACTTTTAAACGCCATGTTTGTTAGTCTTTTCCAATCGGTGGTCGCCAAAAAACCATAAATATAAAAATTTGTCCCTACAAGTCATGCGCATCAAAGGATAAAAAAAATACATGAATTTATGAAAGACTGCTAGTCAAAATGTAACCTGATGCATCTTTCTTAGATCACCTACACTACAAGAGCATATTTTTAACAGAAAGTCCATGTTTGATAAGCTAAGCGAAGCTTGAAACAGATTCGACATTTAAGCTGTTATGAAAAAGATAAAAATTATAGTTGAAATACTTCTTAAAATCAAAACACCTCATTTCCGCATTCCTTGAAGTATATTAACTAATTGTTTTAACATTTTATATTTCATAGCAAGAAATAATAAGTTAACGGTTAAAGGTTTACTTTAAGCTGCTATAATGGGGGTTTGAAGGTCCTGCGTTCTCATTTAAAAATCTAAAAGTGTTTTAGCATTAACTTTCATAATTAATTCAAAATTACGAGATATTTAAGTATTACGAGTTTTAACAAAACCAATTACAAAAGAAGAATATATTATATATCTTTGCGATGTAATTTTTGATCATCAGTTTGGATATAATTTTTGAATATAAAAATCATTTACTTACAAAATCTTTACTTTGGTAAATGATAAAAAAAATTGTTAAAAGATTTTGGAAATTAGAATGAATCAAAGAATAAATAAATGGAACGTTTAGACCGTTTATATAAAATGGGAAAATGATTGCGAATTTGCCAACAACAAAATACTAACTTTTTCGTTTATTCGCATCTCGCTACTCAGTATTTATATCCCGTTCCAAAGCGCATTTTGCAGTTTTCGCGTTATTTTACACACAAATACATATTTTTACAACCCTTTTTATATTTGACACACCTATGTAGTTAGACCTGCGTTATTTAAAAAATACAAATTGATTTATTTTTGAAATTTAATTTTATTACATTATATAAACTATCATAATCAAGTTTTTTGTCTTAATGTAGAGGGATGTACTAAAATACGAAAAAAAATTAACTGCGTTGACAAAGTACCACGAGTCTACATACCTTACTCGTGGTATGCAGAACTTTGCAAGAAAAACAAATGGAACCAAATATAAAAAGCACACAAAAAGGTATAACATAATATATGTATGTATGACATGGTAAATAGCATATGGTAATAAATTTGTAGTATAAAGTGTAAACACAAAAAATGAATAATTTACAAAGAGACACACAACTAAACTTAGATGTGAAGGCAAAAAATATAACGTACGATGTACCTTAATGTCAGCTGTGCAAATTATAATAATAAATGAGAATAGTTAAACGTAATTGTAATAATATACACTAATTATGTATGTATGTGTGATTGATTTCGTTAAATACTCTTAAATACGTTACAAATACAAATTATTATAAAGCAGTCATTTATCAACTGTGAATTTCTTGTCTTACATGAAATGCATACATATACATAAATTTATTACATATATACTTATACATAAATATTATTTTTGTTCTATACACGCTGAGTGTTGTAATATGAAAATGTCACGAACAAATACCTAACAAATAGTACGTTTTTTATGTCTGCGTTAAATGTACACTATGCGCATCCTGTATCAGTTGGGATAACTTTTGTGAAAATGTTGGAATGTCCTGTTGAAAATAAAGATGAAAAATTAATACATATGTTCAAAAACACAATAGCAGCGTTTTTGTTTGTTTTGATTATTTACTCACAGTTGATAAGCAGATCACATCCAAATATTTCGGATTGACTGGAAATCCAGCCGTCACGAAACTCTCACGCAACTTCAAATTATCGACTTGACCCATGGCGTACAGCACGTTCGCCAATTGGTCGAAATGCAGCGAACCCTCACCCGACAACAGCCGATTGATGAGCGCACGCTGAAATGAGGTGAGCAAACTGTCCTGAAACAGTGCACGCTGAAACAAACGCCAACGCTCGTTCACGGCTTGCATCGATAGCAATACCTTGCGAACGAGGTTCGGATCATTGCCGGACACTAGCACCTGTCCGTAAGCATTTAATATGGCCATGAAGTGCTCGGGATGCAAATTATCACTGCTCGTGTGCAAGAGTGAGCCATTGTACTGCACATGCGGTTTATAGAAATACTGCCATTTATGTAGCAAAATGCTGCAACAACAACAAATGGTATAATTTATGCCGAGAATCATAAAAATTGCAGAATATAAGTATATATTGCTTACACACCTATCAAAAAGCGCATATACCATGCTACTCAAATCGGTGCCGTCAACCAAACTAGAGTCGTGTTGTTGTAGTAGCGGCAGCACTTGCTCGATTGTGAAATTTAGAATGGAAGGCAGCATAGTGGTCCAAGTGTTACCCGGCTGTTGCACAACTAACTGAAACATTTGCAATATTTTCTCCAAAACTGTCAGCTGATTGAGACTCAACTGTTCTCTGCAAACGAGAATAAAAGTATGGTAAAATATAACCGTTATTCTTATAAAATACGAGAAAAATAAGCACCAACCTGCTGCTGACCGTTATGTAGAGTGTAATCATGTCTTTGATGAATTGCGCACCGAATTGATTCAATAAGCTACGCAATACGCTAAGGCTTAATTCTGCTGCGGAAATCGAAATCGCATTATTGCTTATACCGAAATCGTTGAAAAGCATTAAAGCTTTTGTAATGATAGGCTAAATATGAAGAACAGTTGAAATAGCTCATTTTATTTTTGCGGAATCAGTTTATATAGTTGAAAATAAATAATTTTGAGAATATTAAAGAAAAAGTTGTTTAATTTGAAAAATATGGCATAAAATAATTAAATAAATCTTATAGTAAATGTAGAGAAACAATTTTTAAATTGAAAAAAAATTAAAAACAGCAACTTTAAATATAAATATTTAATCTTCAAAGTTTTTTCTTGTGTTTTGAAAAATATACATATGTATTCAAAAAATAAAAGTGAAATTCAAATTTTTTTAATTTAATAAAGGAAACTTTCAAAACATTTTGGGTTTTGAAAAGTTTTTCAAAATTTTAATTTTAATAATATTTAATAAATAAAAATTTAAAAGTACAATTAAAAATTGTTAAATTAAAAAAAAAATAATAATATATAAAAAAAACAAGCTAATATACATAAATACAGTTTCGAAAACAAAATTATTCTCGAATTTTTAAGTATTTTTAAATTAAAAAAATTTAAGGTATAAAAAAAATCAATTTCAAATTTAAAATTTTTGTTTTTGGTTTTAGTTTTGAAACAAGTTTGTAGGAAACAGTTTCATATTCATATCTTTAGTAGCAAATTTTTTATATATTATATTTATTTACAATAATATAACAAAAAAGAACGTTAACTTCGGTTGCATCGAAGCTAGCCTATCGTGAAGATATCTCGTCAAATAAAAAAGTGTTTCATACAAGAATGCAATAGTGCACCGATTTAGAAAATTTCTTCAGATCTTTTAGCGTTGCTTGAGAAAATAATCTGTGCCATATATCGTGAACAAATCTTGTGAAATAAAAAAGGTTTTCATACAAGTACTTAATTTCGATTCAGTTTGTATGTATAAGCTATAATGGTCCGATATCGGTGGTTCCAAAAAATGAGCAGGGTAGAAAAGGACGTGTGCAAAATTTCAGAGCGATATCACAAAAACTAAGCGACAGACAGACGGACATGATTAAATCAACTATATATTATATTTTTAGGGTCTTTGAATTTTCCTTCTGTGTGTTACAAAATCCGTGGCAAACTTAATATACCCTCTTCGGGGTAAAAAAATATATAAAAGATTTGCTATTTTTACTACTTATATGGGAGCTTTGTTTAAAAAGAAAATTAGTAAAAATTCTAAGGGTCGTAGTCATATTCGAAATAATATTGTTTCGAAAATTAAAATTAGTTGTTTTTAACGTTGTCTTTAAAAACGTGTTTATTTGATGTTGCTGTAATGACTAACGTGGATAATTGTTGAATGAATAAAAATTTCTTTTCGTTCCATTAACGTTGTTGTTGTAGCAAACAGAAGGAATAAGTAGGCCAAGGGCGCAAATATACACACACATAAGTTTTTAAGCTTTTTTTTTAACTTCTCTTACCCTGAATGCCAGAGCCAACATGTCTTTTGTCGTGTTGCAGGAGTCCTTGAAGTATTCAATGACTTCACTAAAAATACCCAAAATATTCGGCATCACTGAGGAAATTTTCGAAACGGACGCTTGTGAATCCAGTTCTAGGAAATTTTGTGCTTGGCATTTCGCATATTCGCAGAGCTATAATATAAATGAATGAAAATTTAGAATAAATTTGACAAATTTCAGCCTAATGATTTAGGTAGGTAGTTAGGGTGGATGTCTGACGACGCACTATCACTTACATGATTACAGCGGCTTGTGTAATCCTGCTGCTGCTCTTCCATACTTTTCCACGGCAATACTAAATAGCCTATAAGGCTAATATAAATATTGATAATGGCTTGACGCGGTAAATGCGTCAATTTTGGACCAGCTTGCATCAGCTGCATAACGAATAATGTCTCCAGTAAACGTTTCGGTCTTATCACAGTCGAAATACATAGCAGCAGTTGGCCTAAAAATGTAAACAAAAAAATTGTAAAATTGATTTTAATTTTTTTGTTATTAAAAAATTGACTGCAATATAAGACATACTTGCGGATATTGCAACAATGGGCGCTACCGTCACATTATTCGGCAGTAAAATAGCGCCAAGTGCATCAAAGAGACTTTGTATAACTTCATCGTATTTTAGGTTAATCGACATCGGTAATATGCTTCGTATCGCCATTAGTATTTGAGCATATCTGCAAAAAACGGTAATAGTAAAAAGTTTATCAAGCAAATCATCCATTGGTTATACATTGGTAAGTACTCACAAGTAATCAAAATCAGTCTGAAACGTCGATTTGTCTAGATTTAGTGTTGCTATTTTGTTGCCAGTGAAGAATTTGAGCAATGTCAATAGATTTTCGGTAAGCAATTTTAATTGACTGGTTACTTCTGCACCAACTTCGGGCGAATTGATATCCAACAGCGGTGACAAACGTACCACCGCCTGGCATACGGTTGATAAATCACGCAGATGCTCGTTAAAACTTTGTGATTTTAGTTTTCTGCTTAGTTCATATAGTTTGCCACTATCGAGATCGCTTTCTAGAGACAGTAGGTAGACGTGAGGTCGCGACCAATGCGCTGAAACTTGTGCAAAAACAGCATTCGGCCGAGACTCGCCTACCAGAGCTATACATTCAATGCACTGCGACAAGAATTGCTGCCACTCGGTTTGCGTCTGGGATAAATGAAATATAATCAAATCACAAGCATGAGTAGAGATTATAAATTATGGTTAAGTTTTTATATTAGAGCTTGAGTTTATATGTATGTATATAGAAAAGCTAGTTTCGTATATCAAAAGAGTAAGATCATAATTTTCTAACAAAACCGCTAACGCTGCATTATATTTCTAACTAAATAAATTGCTTTACAATTGCTTTAGACCAGTTCAAAAGGTTTTAAAAACCTTTAGCTCAAGCTAAGCTAAATTACTTGTATCAGGAACAGTTCAAAACTGACATAAAAATTCGGCTATTTTTTCGACCACTCTCAAAAATATTTATTCTTCCTCTGTAGTAATTACCGAGAAAAATCTTTGCAGTCTGGAATTTCGTACGTAACCTATTACATATTCAATAAAATAATACAAATCAATCGTGAAAATTACTTTTTCTTATAAAAAAAAAAAAAACAGTCGACTAACAAAGTAATGTCTACTATACATTTAACTGATATTTTATGAAATTCAAAGATTTTGATACGTACGCTTTCTTCAATCAACTCATTGTCTAAAAGCTCCAACTCCGATTTATTGAACTCAAACAATATACGACGCATAATTTCCACGACTAGTTGATAAAGTACATCATTGTAGCGGTTTTGTTTTGAGCTCAACATAAGTCCCTTTATAATTGGAGTCCATATTTCTAGCTTCTCCATAAAATCCAATGCACCATTTTCTAGAAAAAAATATTTGTATAAAATCTTATATAATTTAATAGAGCTGGTACTCAAAATCATATGATATTTCTTACTTGAAATTGTACAACAATAAAGCGATTTAAGGAATGACTCTAATAAATCATTTTGTTGTACCATTTTCGACCAGTATCGATCGGTATATAACCGCAGTAGTTCCCTAAATTTATCAGCGTACATTTCGCTTTGATGTTTTGTGGTGTTATGCTGCTCCAAAAGACCATTTACCCCCGACATAATGGTTAAGGCGTGGGGCAGTGGCTTCTGTAGATACAATAGCTCGTTCAGCACGGATAGTGCCGCCAAGGAGATGTCAGGCTGGGAGGCACGCCATTGTGCCAAGTCTAAAATGCTCATAAGAAAATATTCTGAGATCAATTCAGTTCGTGTCCATGAAACGAGGTGTTGCACACATGTTAGAAGCTCCAATACAGAGGAACTACACAGATAACAAATAATTTAAATTGATACAATAGGAATATATTTAATTTGGGAGTTTGTTACCTGAGTTGATTGTCATTTGGCAGCGACGTGGTTAGGGCATAGTCCACTAAGTTATTAGGTAAGGAATGGATGTCTTTATCGTTGATATGGTATACCGTTATAATTAGATACTTAGTCAATAAGTCCAGTATTTCGGGTATACACATGGATATGCTAAACACAGAACAGAAATGAATCAAGAACATATAATGAACCAAATTTGCGTTTTTTAAGATATCAAACATAAAACATAATTTAGGTTTGAGATATTATATTCTAGATAAAACAGATACATACATGATCCTTTTTAAATATTTTAAACTAATGCAGAACAGAAGTGTACCTGACCCACATTTATCTTACCAAGAATTAAAATAGTTTTGACGCTCAGTTGTTACGCAGTCACGATTGTTCAAGACTTCTTCCGATGTGATGCGCAGCAGAGTAACACCAAGTACAAATTTTTCCGAACGCATCAATTCTAAACAGTGTATTATATAGCTGGGATGGTCGTCGGGGAATTCACGCTTTCCAATGAGCGCAATCAATTGTGCGAAGGTATCACGTTGTCGTCGCGGCACACTCGCGACAGATAAATTTGCGTAGGTATTCCATAATGTTTCTCGCAATAAAGTTCTTTCGTTTGCAGTTAAATGTGTCCAACGACGTGAAATCCAGTGTTCTAGCGTTGATGTACTAAAGAACCAGAGATACTGATTTGTCTCAATAGAAGCAGCCACCTGCAAGCTTATTTGCCAAGCACTTGCTTGTCCCCTGAAGGCGATTAGTTCAGTTTCAATTTCGCGTTTACGTATATTAGGCGTGGCTGGTTGGTGGAATTCTTGAAGTAGTGTCTCTACCACAGCCAAAGAGGAAGACTGCAAGGAACCAATTTTATAGGTAATATTTAATGCGTTTGAGATATAATTTGTACATAGCTGGACGGAATTTGTACGAACAGTGATCCCTTTTACTACAGAACTATGCTGCTGATAACGCTTGTTACTCACCATTTTCTGGTATGTCGCGGTGGCAGTCAATCACAGTATTAAGACGTTATCAAGTTGTGCAAATTTCTTCTGATTCTTATAATAAAACAGTCTTTTAATTCAAAGTGTCCATAACAGTTTTCCGTTGTTACTTCTCTGTAAAAAATATTTGCCGTTTTCCGAAAAACATTGAAACAACGAAATCGACGAAATCATAAAATACGAATACTGCGGCAAGGGCAATTTGACGTTTATTTATCTATTTTAAGTATGGATAGACGTTAGGCATATGCGCATGCCAAATACTTTAAGGTTTGTGCAAACTTGACTTATTAAAGCTGGGGTGTTTGGGGTAATTGGTCCAACTACGTGAATTAATCTAACGACCTATGAGTTTAACTGTTAAATAAAAGCTCATTATTATATATTTTATTCAACTAAGTATAATGATATTACTTCAAAAATTTTGTTATCTCTTTTAAAATTCGTTGATCAGCTGATTTTAGGAGATGCCAGATTTTTTTCTATTAAATATCCAATTGTTTTCGTTATTGGGCAAGCCTGTGTTAATCGAGACACAGTCAGATATCGAGAAGAAAAATGTGAAAAGTCGAAAATATAAATAAACCAGAAAATTTATTCAAAATTTACCATGGAAGGCGAGAAAATTTTGATGGCCGCAGGTGTAACAGTTGCAGCAGTTGTCGGTGCATTTGTTTTCTGGGGTCCTTCAGGTAAACTTTAATTTATATAGCGTCGAAAATGCTGATATATATTATCGTACCCTCTCCCTTGACGCAAAACTAAATATAGGTTCGTCACGTTTACGACAACGGCGAGGACAAATTGCTGGACTACATAACTTTGGTCAAACATGCTTCTTAAATACATTGCTGCAGGCATTGGCTGCCTGCCCTCAATTTATAGCCTGGCTTCAACTATATAATAATGCTAACTCCGATCGAAAGAGCCTGATATCATCACTTTTGAGCACACTTGAAGTTATAAATGGCACACATTCAACTTTGCGGGGTGACCCATACTCTCCAGGTGCGGTTATGCGGGCACTTCATGCTTTAGGTTGGGTAATACCACAGGAGGAACATGATGCACACGAGCTGTTTCACGTACTATTGGCATCTCTCGAAGAAGAGGCTTTGCGACCAAAAAAAGTTGGTTGTCTCTCAGATGCGTTACCACTTACAGTTTCGGGTGGTGAAGGAGATCAACCAGATAGACCATCCAGTGCTATGTTAACTGACTTTTTAAATACTGATTACGATGAATCAACTAATTTAATGCGCATGGTGCGTTCTGAGGCTCATACACCAGATTCGCCATCATCAGTGTGCGAACGTGAAATGTGTCCTGGTGAAGGAGGTGCAGCTGGTACATCGCCAACAGAAATAATGGACTTTGATCCATTAGCATCGCCAATATTGGGTGGCGAACGATCCAGTCGATCACGTAAAATCCAATTAACGAAACATGGGTGGCCAGAAGGTCTAAACAAACGAGTTTCTACATCTTGTCGATCATTGGAGCGTCTTAGTCGTGGTCCCGGGAGAGTATCTGTAAACACTAAACATAGAAAGTACACTTTACAAAATAATAAATTCCTTTTAAAATATTCTCTCCTAGATTTGGTCCGATCAAATGCCAGCTCAAGTTGCAATACCCTTTCAAGGCGCTATGGGTACACAAATCGTTTGTAACGGTTGCGGCTTCAAAGTATTTACAAATATATAAATATAACGGTAACATTTATACTTGAGTTTTTTCTTTTTTGTTTTTGTCTCTAGTCCACTGTTCGATACGACAAATTCGATAGCATCACGTTAAATTTACCATCTCAACGTCGTTCTGGTCTTAGTTTGGGACATTTGCTGAGTGAATATATAACATCTGAGGAACTGAACGATGTAAAATGTGAATCATGCAACGAAACATCCAACCATACAAAATCTTTGACATTCGCCAAATTGCCCGGTTGTCTTTGCATTCATGTTGCGCGAACGGTATGGCTACCAACTGGACAAATTTGTAAGCGTCAAGACTATGTGCATTTTCCTGAGAGTTTGTCAATGGCACCATATAGTTTCGTACAGCCTCATTTGAACAGTCAAGTGCGTGTGACATACGTTAATTTTAGAAAAAATAATATTTTTCTATTATGAATATTATAGGCAGGCACACCATGGGGTTCCACCATGTCCCTCTTCTCCTCAAGTCTACCCATGAATAGTTTGGGCGGCAGTGCTAATGACTCATATGGAACTGCATTTGGTACAATGTTTCCCAAAAACCTTTACCGACTTTTAGCTGTGGTGGTTCACTCGGGTGAGGCAAGTAGTGGTCATTTCGTAACTTATCGGCGTGGTGCTTTAAGGAATGCTCATCGGTAAGTACTATGTGCGGATTAAATAGTACTACCTTGTTTAATGCATTGATTTACAATCTTTCAGTTGGTTCTACACCTCAGATACTGTTGTGCGTGAAGTCTCAATAGAGGAAGTGCTTAGTGTACCAGCCTATTTACTATTTTATGACCGCGGTCCCCAGCGACGCTAAGTTGTGGTACTGATTTGGTGGGTACATACTTATTTTGATACCATTGATGTGAAGGTTATAGTTTCTAATTGTCTTTCTTAGTTTAAGTTTATTATCCACTAGTGTAGAAGCGTTGGAAATGCAAACACAAAAAAAAAATATAACAGTTATCTTCAGCTGTCTGTGGCATTAAATGTTAATCTATTCGATGTAATGGTACAAAATGCTATTCCATTGTATACAATTTGGGATCTCTGCTAAATATATGTATTTATTTATGTATATAAGTTACCTTCACCACCACAGATTCGGCATTTTATATTTTTTTATATAATTATTATCTAAGTGTTATGCAAAACATATTCTCTGCTCAATAATTTCAAGTGCCATTTTGACTAGTCGATCTTATTATGGCTTGTGCTAGAATTGAATACGGATATTGATAGATACAATTATTTGATATTTAAAGTTGTGAGCGCTTATATTTTCTAGCAATTAAGAAATTTGAAAATTATAAAAAATGCATTTACCGACTGTGAATTTCGCTTAATTAGTTACATTTAATTTAAAATATATCTTCATCAAACGAAGCATTTGTTGTTCAACTACTATAGGATTACATTATCTCTATGTAAGTATTTAAAGCATTTTCGAAATTAATTTTTGGCGTTCATATAAATATATGCGTTTTATACATAATAAAAATAGAAATGTATTATATTTAATGTTGTTTCACTAGGCTATCCCTACATATGTACATACATATATGTGTGTATATATTAAGGAAATGTAATAATGCTCAATCATAACACAAACCAATACCAAATAGTAAAGCATACAGTATACATTGATACATTATTAAGAAGAAACTTAATGCCCCACGATTTAAATAAATAAGATTCTTACCAAATTAAATAAACTAAAATTTCTATTGCTTTAATGATGGTGGAGTTCACTTTTACATTTTTTTGGAGCCTTTAATAATTTGCACATAGCTACCATAGTCTGTTGCATATAAGTTATTAGATATGCCGGAGATTTTTTGGGGTTTACACAGATCTTGGTGGCTACGTCTTGCTGCCCGTATGGGCATCCAAGCAGTAACTGGACTCTCATTTGCTTGCATAATGCTGCGCACAGCTAAATTGAGTGCAGTTGGTGCTAGGGCTTCTTCACGATATTCGGTGATAATGTTGTCGGCGATGCTCAAGGCATTGGCTGCCTCAACTACATGTTCGATTTCCTTAAAATGTGGCAAATAATTAGCGTGTATAAGATCAATAAATCGTTTTGGTTCGGAGGCAAAGCTGTCGCTTATATCTTCTGGTTTGTGGGTGAAATTGCCGTTGGACAAGCCTATAAAATAAATACAAGTGTAAGAATTGTTTAAAATCTACATATGAAGTCTTATATTACGTTTAGGATTAAACACTCTTCCTAAGGCGTGCAGCATTGTAACAGACTCATCGCGGTAAATTGTTTTTAATGTGCATAATTTCTTTTTAGATTTTCCTTTAATTTCACAAGATTCTACACGCTCGGTAGGCAAAGCTCCTGCTCCTAAATAAAAAAATAAAAAATCATGGAGTTATTGGTTATTTCATAAATTTTTATGTTTTTTTTTTACTGGTTTACCTTTCAAGGAAGCAAAGTGTAGATTTATGAGTGCGTTGCGTATATCGCCTTGGGCTGCAAATACAATTGAGTCTATTATGGTCTCCGAAGGCACTTTATAGGTATCAGAGAACTGTTGTTCTCTCATTAACGCACAAAATCGCTTCATCGCCTTTTGGAGCAAAGTGACCGCAATCGGATTGAAACTAATATGATTAATATGGTACTTATTTTTTAAATCTTCGGTAAAGAGATTATAACTTATATTTAAGGAACGACTTTTTGAATCAGCTACGATGAATAAAAGTGGCGCCTTTCCATACTTAGAAAATTCTCTACAATATTCAAGTTGTATGTTTAAATATTTGTTTGTATTATGAATAACTAACAACTTACTCTAAAATATCTTCAAATGTGTCGACACTAGAAAGTATCATGTTTGGAAAATCCTCCACTAGCACCAGTCGCTTTTGGCTGCCTAGTAACGATTTATAGCGAGACGAACGAAATAGGAACGATTTAAAAAAATCAATTTGTGAACCAGTATAGCTACTCGTCTGATCACCTAACGTGTTAATCATGTCACAGTCTACCGGGTTAATCCATTCTTGTAGTTCAAATTTTTGCGCACGCGCCAATGCGCGTACAGCTGCGGTTTTCCCCGAACCTGATGGCCCGGTAAGGAGACAAATTTGTGCAGGATGTTGTTTGTGCACGACTTCGCAATGCAATAACCAGTCTTTCAATTCTGCCAATTTTTTCGGATGCACAGCAACCTCTTCACATGTTTTCGGTTTAAATTTATCAATCCAATTGGAATTATTTCTTGACGATGGAGAAACAGTTTTTGATGTTTGCGGACTTTTATTTGATGTTTTGTTTTCAACTATTTTTTTATCATCAGCAACGTTACTTTCCTTCTTCTGAGTAACATTTTCGGTTTGCACTGAGTCAAATTTTGATTGATAAGAAAATGCTGAATTATTCCAAGCACGCTATAAATAATAATATTAAAACAATTTATGAATATTTCAGTTAAAAGATTAAAACACCATTTACTTTACGTGTAGCCGGCCTCATTGCTGCCAAACATTTTCTATTCGCTATTTAGAATTTTTATTCAGCGCGGAATTTGCCCAAAATGGTAAATTTGAATGTTTTTAAGCAATTTAAGCTACAGAGATGAAAGGTACAGATCCAAACTGATACTTTACATCACTCATATATCGATTTTAACTTTATATAACAAATGAATATCGATATGTTTTATATATCAATTTTAATTCGTAATAATCAGAAGGTAATAGGTTCAAAGGATTAATTCATTCTCCGATCTCTTTAATATACAATATTAGTAATTTATTTAGAAGGTATACAAAAAAGAATCAAAGCTGCTCTGTTTTCTAAGCTATTGAATTATATTATTTTTTCTATTTATTTATTGAAAACAATTGCAGTAATTCAAACAATCATACTCTTCATATTCCAATATTAATCATTTATTTAGAAGGTAGACAAAATTATATATAAAACTGTGTTTACTAAGCTATTGAATGATTCTATTCAAAAATATTCTTTTTTATTTATTAAAAACGGCAGCAGTAATTCCCGAATTTTTTAGAATAGTAGTACTTTTCTATGCGGTATTTATAAATGATCATTGTAATTCTCTTGGTGTTGAATTGTAACCTAAAAGTATATCCAATTGAAAGTTTTTTCCGTTTTTTATTAACAACAAAAACGAAAGTTGCAAATTAAAAAATAATAATATTCACATATGGTTTGTGGAGACCATTTTTGGAGACTAGTTTAAGGGTAAAAATATAGTGTGGCAAGGCTTTGTAGAAGTATATCGGGAGTTTGCTCTGTGGAAATAAATTCAATAGGAGAAGTTAAAATTGGTTAAATATTTAATTAAAACTATTTTCAATACATTAAAAGATATTTAAAATACAAAATAATTGTTTCTACATGATTTCGATTTGAAGATCGGTGAAAAAAGTATGTTTTTGAGGAGTAAATGAATATTGAAAATTCTTAATTTCATCTAGTTCGCGTTTACTTTTATGTGCAGTCGTTCTATAAAATTTCCGTCTGTGCGTGTGGTGGGTGTGAGCGGGATAGCAAAAATGTGCGTGCGTGCGTGCGTAAAAGGTGCCAAAGTGGAATTGAAATACACAAAATGGATGAATAATAAAATTAAGAAAATAACCATTGAAAAAAGTACTGCAAATATGCTTACGATCGCAAACAATTAATTTAATTTTATGACAAATTTTAGTTCGTTGTCACTGATATCAGTGACATATAAAGGCTTGTCCTCTGCCACCTTTTCTCGTAGTTACTTAAACTTTGTTTTATCAAGTAGTTTGCTTGGTCGTTTCATTCTTAAATACATACAAGCGGACGGTAGATAATGCAAAATGTAGGATTGTGTGGAAAGAAAATTGCAAAAATAAAAGATGCCTACAAAAATATCTTAAATGCTGAACTATCAGAACTATTATTATTAGTAAAACCCACTCCAATTTTGTTTTGACTAGTGTCATGATAATGGTGGTAAAATAACTATTATATAAGTATTAAGTGCTTAAAAATTAATATAGATCGAATCAGGCATTGAAGAAAAAAATGCAAATTGTATTTTAACATTTCTTTCCAATACAAACTTGTAATTTTTGGTAAAAGTTTTAAAGTAGAGATCAAATCAGATAAATAATAAATATTAGTTGTACGCTGGATGGCAACCTTTTAAGTCTGCAGTTGTCGCATTTTCCAAATCTGTACTTTCCACCGGCTTCGCTGTTTTTGTCTATGCACTATTTCTCCAATGCATGTTATGAAGTGAAATATACGACAGGGACAAATAGTGCAACTAAAGAATAATTTTGCAAACGTGTGAATTGAAGTTGTCCAAGAGCGTAAACGAAACAGGGGCCAAGTAAGAAAGGGAGATCCGATAACTACGAGACGAGAAGTATGTGTGAGTTGAAGGAAAATTTAAGAGAATATTAACAAAGATGAACCAAGTCAAAGAAAAGGAAACCAAAAAACCAACAAGAAAGATAAAATAAAAGGAGACAATGAAACGAATGAACCTCTGAGTTTTGTATGTATTTTCATATATATTTGAACAAATGTCTTTTGTAGTGATATTGAAGCTAAAATAACATAATTTTGTTAAATTTATTTATATACTAGGTATGATTGGAAGTGTTTAAGATAAAAGATCGTTGTGTTTAATTAAATGTGAAGATATGAGAAAATTTAAAGCTAAAGGCAATAAACTAAACGAAGTAACAGAACATTTTGACAATTTGGTCACAAGCGATTCGAGGAGGTTACTCGTCGTGTTCGGCCCAAATGTGTGTAGAAAGTGTAGCAAGGTGCGCGGTGGTGTAGAGCAGGACAGGGCAGAGAAAAGCAAATAAATGAAGGCACATCAAAATGTGAATAAGAGTACGGAGTAAAGTGTGAAAAGTGAAAAATTTGCACAATAAAATTTCTTAAAAAATCAATAAAAATACAAGAAGCAGAAAGTCCAGTTAAAATATTTGTGAATATAAAAAATTATCATGCGCATCTAAAGAATAATCGATTCTACAACGGGCGCTACAAGCAACACAAGTTGTAAAAAAGAAGAAAGAGTTTTTGGTGTCATCGATTTTGCCAATCAAAGGATTTTGAACAGCTTTTTCATTTTTCCAATACGATTACATAGTCCAATAAAAGTTTGCGTTGGACCCGCCGCCAATAATGCATTTGGAGCGTGTTCGCAAATGGTCTTGGATCCAATAAAGGGTCTTAAGCACCATAACACAATCCAAGGCATTAGTCTTTGCGTTGGCGTAGGCGGGTACTGCGCTGAGCCTTCATTCAAAGCACAATATGGACCCGCATGAATTAAAGCCTCCAGGGCCGGGTTTATTATCAAATAGCACAACTAATGCAGCGACCAGCGGTCAGCAGCAACAATTAGGAGGAAGTGGGGAGCAACTAAATCTACCTCCACCATCACCCCAAGCAAGTGGAACTAGTGGAATTAATGGTGCAATTGGATCATTAACATCTGTATCCTCTGCAAGTGGATCTGTTGGTAGTTGTGCTAACAATGTTAACATCTTCTATAGCAATGTTGCTGCATCGCATCAACAACGGCCATCTCCAAATAATACTAATCTTGATGGTGATTCCGATACAGAATCTTTAGCCACCATGTCGGCAAAAGCTAAGGCTGCAGCTGCAGCTGAACAAAATCACAATGTCTCGGCAACTAATGGGCACAATAGTGGGGCAAACACAGGAGTTAACAACCTAAGTGTAAATGCCAAACAACAAAGACAACAAAAACGACGGCGCGAAAGAGCACAAAGATTGCAGGCGGAACGAGAAAATCGTTTTGCCAATACTGTTAATAATATCCCAAATAGCGGTCTATTGTACCACGCCAGTAGCGCAGGCAGCATGGGCGAGGACAGTAATAACTCGAACGGGAACTTTACGAGCAGTAGTAACGGCAGTAATAACGTAATGCCTCCAACTGATAGTATTGCGTCGTTACTACTCAATCCTCCGCACTCGCCTGAATGTAATTCTGGTTTAATGGCTACTCCAAGCGATAGTGAAGGAGAATCACTAGACGAAGATTTACTCTCAACTTCATCTTCTTCCACTTTACTATTACCCCGCGATAAGCCTCCACCGAGGCCGCCACCTCCGGTTCGACGAAAATTGCCTCGATCACCTGTCCTGGAAGAAGAAATAATTGATGGTTTCGCAATACTGGAATTCAAGTCTTATGAAGACCTAGAGGTAAACATATTTTTATTATTGATTGTAATTCTAATATAAATAAATTGAAATTTTAGTTCGCGATAAAGTTGGGGCAAAAACGAAAGGAGAAACGATTATCAGCGTTGGAGGAACTAACTTGCACATATAGCATTGAGGAGACCAAAATGCCAAAGATTATTGATACAGGTCAGCCTCATCCAATACGCGGAAGTGGTGCCCTTAACCTGCCAATGAATAATATAAAGGATGGAAGTAATAATATTCGTCTACATAGCGGCAATGGGAACAGCACTAATTGTCATCCAGCACAAACCGTTACATCATCTACAGCTGTGACAGTGCAAGATCCTCCGTTAGATGTTATTGCGCCACCATGGAAAAGCCAATATCAAAATTCTAATAATAATAACGTTGGAAGTCATATAACTAATATAAATCAAAATACTATCAATTGCAGTAGTGTGAGTGGTAATATTATTAACAACACACAAATCAATACTGCTCCACCAACAACAATGATATTAAACCACAATGGCAACAATAGTAGTAATAGCAATAATAACAGTGATGGCGCCGGAAGTAGTAGTAGTAGTAGTAGTAGTGGTATTGCTGAAACAACCTCTAGCAACATTAACAATACAGATGAGGATGCTGTTATGACATCAGTTGATGCAACAGATGATTGTCGAAGCGTTTTGATTGCAATGGATAGTGGAGCGTCATCTGGTAGCTCTACAATGACCGTGAATCCTATAATCGACAATGCTTCCAAACCTAAAGAAAACAATACAAATAATTCCAGAACAAGTACTGTAACTACCGATGCCTCGAATGTCACATCAGTATCGTCGCCAAGTTCTACATTCTCAGTGCCACCACCAGCATCTCTGGTGACAGCCAGTGCTTCTACTTCGTTATTAGAGAAGTGCAGCAGCAGTAGTGCGTTGGCGAACAGTACAACACAAGTAATTCCAGCGGAACCGCCAGCACCAATAAGTGATGGCTATCGCAATGCAATGCATTTAGAAAATGTTAAGATTGGTTCAAACACATCATCTGCGAATAAATCATCCATGGATGTAGCTTTTGGTAGTAACAGTGGATCCAATTCAAAACATACAAGTCATTTTATAAGTATGACATCCAATGTAAGTGATATAAATGCTAATGTATATGGCCTATCACATTTAATTAAGTATGTCTTAAACTTAAAGGTATCAAACACCACACAGTTAGGGAACAGTAACAACAGCAGTAGCGGTGAATTGGCAACAGATATGCGAGGATCAGGCTCAACGGCGACGGCATCTGCGACGGTTGCGGCAGCATCACAGCAGTCTGTGCCGAAAATTGCTCAGCCAACACCAACTAAAGATGAAGTATTTGATCGCATACGCGACGTAAGTACTGCTGAATGTTGTGTAGAAAAGGTTCTAAAAAGTGTAAATACTGAAATGCACTTCGGGTTTATATAACCACTGTGTACAACTTACGATACATTTACCCGTATGTGATTGAATTGTTTTCAAATCGCATTACAGAAACAGGCAGTGCCAAAGTAGCACTTAGGTTTGTTTCTGAACGAGTAACTATCACTAGATAGTCAAGTTTATGCTAGAAAAGAGCTTCTTAACCCAAAAATTTAGCAAAAGACAGCACAATTTGAGCGCAAGATGCAGAGAGAGCCGCTTGTTTCTGCTAGTGAAAATTCTGCAAGCAAAAAATATATACTGCCTTATGAAGAAACACATGTGTAAACAAGCGATAGTTGACGTATTTGCTTTGATTATGTTTATTTTAATAGTTTTGAACTGTGAAAATAAAATTTCTAGATTAATTTTATGATTGATATGTTGGCATTATTTACACTTCCATGTTTCCATGCTAATTTCTGCGGGTTTTCTGTTTATTTAATTGTTCCTTATTTCGCTCTTTGTGAGATTAACCTGCCGTTTTCGCATTCTTCTTCTTCATAGCTAGCAGCTACTAGCACTACAGAAGCAAACCTTGATATTCTTAAATAATTTTAAATATTTTTTATGATGATCAATTTCTTTTTATTTTGTTTAAGGGTTATGGCCACTGTAGCGGGTGTAAAATTATGTGCATATTCATCAATTTTTTTTAGTGATATAATCATTTATTCACAACACTAATGAAACACTTATCAAGCTGATGAAAAATTTTTTTCGGTTAATTTTGTTGACTATTTAAACAGTTTGAATTTTTAGTCATTAATTTAAAAACCTAATTCTAAAGATAACTCAAAATTTGATTGCGATCGGATAAAAATTGTCAAAGTTATTTATCTTGCCAATTGGAAAAAAGTAGTTTTGAGAAAAACTTGTTTAAAGATTCACATACAACTATAGCTCAACTTGAAACTTTATGACTATAAAGCATAGTTTAAGCAAAAAAAACACGGTTTTTTTTTTTTGAAAATTCTACAGTAGCGATACCCCTTAAGAAAAAATTTTGTTTTTGTGGAAGAACAATCAACCGAAATTAAGGGTTGTATTATTAATTATTACAAGTTAAAATTTGCGCAATATTTGTCCTTTTCTCCCGAAGAAGCTGACTGGTCTTTTGTCGGATCACTATAGCATATAACTGCCGATCAAAACCCAGTCCTCGTATGGAAAACTTTTTTATTTGACGAGATTTATATATATATATATATATATATATAATGTTAAATTTTACGCTTTTATTAACATATTATAAACATGTGCGATTTTCTCTTATTTCAGGCGGGCGTCACATGCAAAAGTATTGGGATGGGGCTTAATATCGTAAGTATTTGCTTAAATCAGTTAATAACATACGTACTAACATACTTTTTTTTTTTATTACAGTGTGATAATGATGAAAACAAGGTAAGTGCCATAATCTGTATTCGCATACATATTATAAACTGTGAGGTAGATGGCTAACTCCAAAGCCTAGATTTTCGAGGTACATTTTATGTATCCTTTGGAAAATTAGAGTAATTGTGTAGTCTGTTTGACATATTATTCAACTCTCGAAGCCACGAAAATTTTGCTAGTAACCATTTTTTTTTATTATTTTATTTCCTGCTAATTGTTTTACAACAGGTTGTAAATGAATGAAATGTTTTCTGAGCTTTATTACCTACAAGGAAAATAAAATTAACCTAACACCTTTTATTACGTAATATTTATTTTTAAAACTGTAAATACAAGCTAAGCCGACAATTGTCAATAATTGTTCCTACGTCAGTGAAGTGTACATAAGTGAAACGGTTCAGAATTATGTCCGGTCAAAGATTTCACCTCAACAATTTTTCTCGAACTATAATTGAAATTTTCGTACTACTACAACAACAATATTCATAAATTTCTTTGACAAGTTTAATCTTTATATTATATCAATTTTTAATATCAGAAATAAACGTAAATCGAACTGCTAGCATCAATATAGTTCATAATGCTCAATTCAAGCACAAGTCAGGAAAAATTAAATATTTTCTTTAGTTATCCTATAGTAGAAATCAGTAAGGTACTAGAATGAGGCTTGGAAACGAAGAATGCCATGAAGATTTTCTCACAAATATGTTGTTGTTGTTGTTGAAGCGGCAGAATTCTGCTGAGTTGACAGTTCTTGGCTGGATAAAATCCAGCTTGGCATCCTGAATGAAATATAATAGCAATCAGTTAATAATCCATTGAAGCAAATAGGAGTATAATGATTTAAGGGGTTAGGGGTAGTCAGAGGCAGAAAAAATTAGGATTTTCGGTAATTTATTTTTGCTATTAAATCATATTATTTTACAAAAGTAGTAATATGGCGTTATGATACAATGTTTTGACTTGAAGTTACGAAAATTTACTCTCTGTGTTGACCCAGTTCCAAAAAAAAGGTCCTTGCGGTGAGAATCATAAGTCATTATGAGATTCATTTAAAATCAATCAATTGGGAAAAAATTTTTGGTATATTACCCTTAACGAAAATGCAAAAAACAAATTGTCCGTATTATTTTTATGTCATTTGTAATTTACGTTGCATACGTAAAATTCAGAAACTATTCTCAACATCAATTAACATGAAATACTTGGATTATTCGATATATGTGGTTTTTAAATCATCTGGGGTCATTAGATACATTTAGATATTAAAAATTGATTAGTTTGCTTACATTTTACGTTAAATAAAGGATCTTAAAATCCTCCGAAACGAAAGACAACATCCGAATATACAATAGTTTTTTTTTTTTAATATTTTATGTCCGCGCTAAACAATTATCTGCATTGCGTATTTTCCTTTAAAATATGTAAGAATATGTACAATATGATTTCATATCTCTAAATATAGGAAGAGTTTTTGTAGAGTCAAAATTCCATGTATCAAAGCTATTGTTTTGAAACAGCTGTATTTTTAATTATATTTTGTAAAAACAAAATATAAGTCCTCCATATTCCCAGGTGTGATGGATTGACTTTATTGTATTTGAAGATATGATTACTTTTAATTAATAATTCATCCAATCCATTTATGTACTTTTCTTCAACTCTTCATATCTCGGGGTTTTATTCACTGTATAGAAGTAATCTTAACTATGCTTTAAAGCTTTAATTTTAAGGTTCACAAACTACTACTAATACGAAGTATTTGAGTCAGATTTTAATTAGACCGCGTAAAAACGAGTATTTCTGGTATATTTTTTTCAGGGAAAACTGCATTAAATGTTTTACAATTTTTAGGATATTTATTATATTGAGTTAAAAATGTCGAGTTAATTGCTATTTTCCAAGATACTAAACAAAAATTAAAATTTTTTTTAAACTGTAAAGTATTGTCTATACAGTGACCCACGATTGTTAAAGAAAAATTTAAATTTAAAGTTTGTTGAAACTTAAAAAAATACAGAATTTTCCCAATAAAACTACATTTTCATACAATCGAAAAACTGGAAGGTCCTTGTAAGGAGAAACATAAGCAAAATACGCATAAAAAACCAAAGCGTAATAATAGTAAAATTCACTTTCTAGCGCTTGAGCGACTACAATTTGGAAAGCTGTAACTCAAAAAGAATTTGAAACATCCATTTAAAATTTAAGGTATAATATATTATATTCTATTTTAAGGTGAAGACTATCGAAATGTGCAAAATAAATACATTTTTTTCGAACTTTCATACTAAATAAATGTATTCGATAATTGAAAAGAAAAAAGCTTCATTAACGAACATACTGATCGTATAAACAATTAAAAACTTAAAAATAATAACTTCTGCTAACAAGAACAAGATTTTAGATTTTTAACAGCTAAAATAAAGCAATATGGAGACAGCATTTGAAAATCTGAAATTCAATTTAGTAAATACTGTTAGTTATATTGTTGCTGTTGTAGTTGCTCTCCACATAATTATAGAAACACTGTCAAGTTGACAGTTCTTGATTTGGTGAATAACCTGTTCCCTATCGATTGGAAACTGCGAGTGTCTTCTCAGAAAGTTTGAGAAAAATGCATTTTTTGAACCATTTCCAGGACCCTTTCGCGCAGTTTTTGAATTTTTGAGTATATACATATAATCCTATAAAGACGTATCATATTATTATTATTTGTTAATTTTTTTGTGAAGAAGCCGTCAAGAATGTCTTACTACCACTTTTTTCTGATAAACTTTACTGAAATATTCAGAATTATAATGCGAAAATTTTGCCAATAAATCCATCATCTTTTTTCTCTCGTCAGGATTACCCTATTAAACTTATACTTGTACATATTAACAAATTCGCCTGAATATTTAAACCACCACCGTTTCAATGCTCTCGCCGTCGCATATCCCACTGTTGACTCCGAATTTATTGGAGCCAGTACGACAACACTGAGAATAATTACAACATATTGTTGGTACCTGTGAACAAAACCGCAGCAGCATCGTCGTCGTCGGCCATCCTCATCGTTGTAGAATGCTCTTGGTGGATACGTATATTCGCTCATTTAAGCTTTCGGCAAATCGTCGGTCTGTTTGTTAGTCGGCAGAGTTGGTTGTTATGTACCGTTTAACTGTTATATATCAGTTAGGCATGCAGGCAGGCGGGTGGTCGCTTAGTCGCCGCGCCATTTGATTATACCGACGCTCGTCGTTTAGCTTCGTATATGAATGTTGTTATTTGCCTCCTTGCTGTGCGAGCATTAGCCGCAATAATACCAACCCCAGCAGCAAAACCAACAACAATATCGGCAACAATAACGACAGCAAGCCATAGCACAATACATACCAATATTCCATTGGCATATCATAAATCGTAATCATGTTTCATTCAAGTAGCGTTTACGATTTATCGAATTACGCGCATTATTACTATTACAACAGCGGCAGCTATTAGCAGCTTTGCTAACCGCTATGAGCACTCAATCGAATGATTACAAATTGAGTACTCAGGTTTTTGCTTCGACCCCATCAACGGTGGCACAGTGTGTTTATATGTATAAAAAACCAGAAATAAATTAAATTAAAAATTATTTATCAATAAAATTTTATCAGAACTTCGAGAGTTTAAGAAAACTTCCATATGATGATAATCAAACACATCAATTATCATACAAATGTTGTTGTTGTTGTAATGGCAGAAAATACTCCTCACATAAAATTAAGGAATTCTGCTAATTTGACAGTCCTTGGTCGGGAAAAATTTCGAGACGCGACTGTCGTGGGAACCGAATAGTGAACGAGCAACAGTCCATAGTTCGGTTTTCTGACAGTTTTTAATTCTTTTGTCGAATAAATCGCTGGTGTTGTTTCCTAAATACTTTTGGACTAGTACTTATCGAGCTGGCAAAGCTTGGTCAGAAATATCTGGGTCCGTTCAAATTACTTAAAAACGGCGATTGGCGTTTTTGATTTGGGGACTTGTGAATCGTATGTAAAGAAGCACCCCGGAGTCCTTGCGGTAGGTAGGCAATCAATCGATCAATTTCCGTTTATAGAGACAGTGAAATATTCTCTGGTTTTTGGCCGGTCTCGAAGTGTATTTAGTAAAAGTGATGATGTTTTCCCTGAGCTTTGAATATTGACCATGTTAATTATTGGTGATTGTTTTAGAATTGTTTAAGAGAAATATTTTCAAAATTAATTTCTTTGTTTTGAGTACTTTTTTTTATAAAAAGTTACGTTACTTTTTAGTTATAGTTAGTTTTTGTTTTCACAGCCAAAATATATTGTATGTGTATTACAGCTTCTAGTATTTTTGAAATTACAAATCTAGAAGTGAAAGACTTTAATTTTGTATAGTATTTCACTGCATGTGTTTTACAACTACTCCAGATCGTTGATCTTTTAGTTGAAAATAGATCTGATAAAAATACTTACTGCCAATTCTAACATAAATGACCCACTGTGCGTATGCCAATATGTCAAATTTGCTCAATACGTTTTGGTTGCGAGTTTTTTTTTCACTACTTTTATTTGCCTTAAGTTTTGTAGTGCTATGGCATGGTTTGCTAGTTGGTTGTTGGGCATGTTTAGATTGAGTTGGCTTGGTTAAGCTTAGCTGGATTTCAGTTCAATTGCCACAAAAAGCAAGTACACACTCACCTACCGACTTACCTATTTACAAGTGTACACACCATGAGTACAAATGTATGTGCATAGTCACATACTTAGATACTATAGTATGTGATTATGTATAAAGAGGTATGTGCATATGCTCGTGTTAAGTTGGTATCGGGGCTGGGTGTTCTCGTAAGTACTTGTCAATTCACAACTTTGTGTGTACAACTGGTAAGTGATTTGATAGACACGATTAGTCTTATTCCCATGTCGAGGGGGTCGTACGGCCATAGTCGAGAATGATGTTTTGACTGTGGCATGCGAAGTGGTTGATGAACATAAACTCACGTAACTACTTGT